GTAGGGAAACACAGGCTCTGTATGACAGCCTTAAGAAGTAGAGACCTAGGATGCAGCACAGACATGGGTTGGCAAAAACTGTGGCACAACCTTGGTACTGAAGAATCAACAGCTCAGAAATTATCAGTTAAAAATATGCATATCTGGACCTGGATAAAACTGGTTTTAGGCACAAGAAAATAGTATTTAACGTACATAAGGAACACTATAAAAAGTAAATTTTTATTATTGGTCTGTAGCTGCATAAATAATAAAGTGTAAACATGTGTAAGCAAACATGTAACCACAGACCCAACTAGAAGGCGAGATGATCATAGAATTGTATAATCATTTAGGTTGGAAAAAGACCTTAAGATCATCAAGTCCAACTATAAGCCTAACACTGCCAAGTCCACCACTAAACCATGTCCTAAGGGCCATATCTACATGTCTTTTTAATACCTCCAGGGATGGTGACTCAACCACTGTCCTGGGCAGCCTGTTCCAGTGCTTGACAACAGTTCAGGTGAAGAAATTTTCCCTAGTGCAACTCGAGGCCATTTCCTCTCATTCTCCCACGTGTTAGCTGGGACAAGAGACCAACCCCCACCTTGCTACAGACTCCTTTCAGGTAGTTGTAGAGAGCAATAAAGTCTCCCCTCAGCCTTCTTTTGTCCAAGCAAAACCTCAAATATTCCTCATAAGACTTGTGCTCCAGACCTTTCACCAGGTTTGTTGCATTCCATAATACTAAATTCTAAGTGTAACAATTTGTAACCTGTTTTATCTGTACTCCTTCCCCCCCCATTTCTCTAGTGGGGGAATAATTTGCTGCCATTTACTCTTCAGTCTCTTTCCTTATGTTTGTTCAACTTTAACTTTAGTTCAACCTTGCAAAACTCTCATTGAAATTTATCAGTATAAGGATAGAAATTTATCATTCAGTTTAACACACAGTGATACTTTACTTACAAAGGGAAACAAGCAAGTGAAAATGATAAATGTATGCAACAATGAACAGCAAAGGCAAGGTCAGTCAAAACTTTGATTCACCCACCCTTAGAAAGGAAGAAAGGATGAATTAAGGGTGAAAAAGGGTAAAAGGTGGCCATTTCAGAATCACTACAAACTAGTAATGATTTATCATGTAACACCCAAAAGAACTGTGCATACAGCAGAAAAGTTTACCTTTACACTCAGTTTGCTTCAGTAAAAGAAACCAAACAACTAGTCTTATATGGTGGGGATGTACCTTGTTGGATGAGGGTTTCTGCTGCAGGCTCCCCAGAACCTACATTGACATATTCTTCATTAGGATGCTTTCTGTTGTAATGCCTCTTGAGGGAACCAGAGATGTTGCAGGAGTAGTGGCAATGGGCACAACGGAAAGGCTAGGGGTAAAAAGGAAAATGTTAGAATGTCTTTCCTGACTTCTTTAGGGTACAGGTCTGAATTGCAATGTTCTGAAGCTGAGAAACCACGTTCCTTTCTGGTTTAGACATCTTCCAAGGAGACCTTCAAAAATTCATAGAATCATAGAATGGTTTGAGTTGGAAGGGACCTTAAAGATCATCTAGTTCCAGTGGCATGGGAAGGGACACCTTCCACTAGATCAGGTTGCTATATGCAAGTCACCAAGTATTCTCAACATTATAAGATTATTACTTATTTTTCATAATTCAGTAAACTGTGTGTTTTCATAATTAATGGTCACAGGTCTGACCATGTGGAGACTTTCTATTATAAAGAAATTACTAAGCTGGCATGAGCTTTGCTCTGAAAGGTAGAATAAGAGAGCTAAAATAACTGAAGGTCCAATGTGATTGTACAGCCAACCTAATATAACAGATAACCTACCTGACAAGGTTGATCTCTTCCTTTTCCTTGTCTCTCCAACATGCTCCCAACTGCTCCCCTTTCACTGACACTTGCATTCATCTGACTATTTGGTGAGTGAAGTTTTAGGAACTAAATTAATTCATTTTTAAGAACATACATCTCCCTTCAACTGCAAGGGAGAGACACTTCTAAACAAAAAAGTTTAGGAAAACAAGTGTTTGTGCCTAGGAGTGAAGGAAACCAAGTGTTCTTGTAAGCCTTTCAGAATAACATTCTGAGTGAGGTATGTTCCACTTAGAGGGAGTGTGGCACTAATGTTAGGGTACTGGAAGAGACTGCAGACATTGACCAGAGTCCTTGGGGAAAAGTCAAACACCTCAGAAGGGGACACAAAATGTTTCAGGGACAGCGACCTAAAGCTAGTCAGCAGAAAATGGTTGGTACAGAAATGTTACTTAAGAAGTTGAATTTACAGCAGGGAAACGTCTGCAGTGAGGGTCCATCAACCAGAACACTTGCCTAAGCTTGCTGCTTGTGACCTTCCTTCAGGCTCCAAACAGCACAAAAAGTGATGTTCAGATTTCATTACCCTTACAACCCAGAGGGTACTGTAATACTCAGCTAATCAGTTTTTCAGTGAGGGATACTTCCGATTTCTATTGCTGAAACCGGGTTCTTTTAAAGAAAATAATCCAGACAGGCTGCTGTGTTCTTGTACCACTGGCTGAATATTTGCATGTCCTTTGCATTATATCTGCTATCAGAGAGCAGGATTGCAAAGCCATGGGCTGCAAATAGGGTGGATTCAATTCTGTGAGTTTGATCTACATGCAAACAGCTGTCCCAGAAGAAGGCAACACCTTACTAACAGTTTTTTTAACTCCTTTTGACAAATACTCCTGACTAACCCATTTCAGTGTTAGCAGTTCTATTGACAATGAATTGAAGAGTCACACTTCTATGCAGGCTGAGAGAGGACTGAAGAGAGGTACTGAGTCAACCATTCTAAAGCTGCCCCTGAGCTCAGAACCAGCATTACAATTATGTCAGCCAATTAAAAAAGCAAAATTATGTATTTTCATTTTAAGAAAAAGCTTTTAAACATATAAATCCACAGCAAAAGTACAGATGAAGAAAGAAAAAAAGATTTGCTCAGAATGTATCATATCTTTAGATGACTTGCTTAACTTTCTTATGTCTTATCTTCCAAAATTTAAGCCATAAAAGGACTACCCTCCTTCCTGCTTTACAGAGGTACATAGCATTGGCACTTACTAAGAATGGCTGGAGTCTTCTCTTTATAGAAGCAAAATGATTTGTTAGATAATTAAAGATGTTACACATGAGAAGAGTCTGATGTTTTCAATAAGAATTACTCTCCTTGTCAAGATAAGGCATTACACTAAAATGAACATTTTCATACATACAAATACTGGGATTTTCGGGAAAAGATACTAGTATAATTTCTATTTCCTGAATATAACATTTCAGAATTAATTACATCAAGACCTGTCATGCTGAGAATCAATGTGAAATTTAGGAATAAAACCAGACTACAGTTTACTAAAGTAAACCGTATCTCTAATCTACACACTTCACAGAAATATTAACAACCTTCAAAACTCTTTCCAAGACACGTTTCAGATAAATGGGGTGTTTTAAAATTAATTGTCTTCAATTTTCTTCAAGTATATGAACTCATCTATAGTACATTAGACTGGCAAACTTTCAGAGAAAATTAAGGTGGGCAATCAACAGTGATGTATGAGATTCGCTTTCCTGCTTCACTAGGACATTTTAAGGTACATAATAGATTATTTCTCTCAAGGACTGAAAGTCAAAAAACCCAATGTTTGTTTTATATTCCAACATACATATATTTTTGGCAAGTATAGATACTAATTACAAATGGATCATGAGCAAAATAACTATCTCAAAAGCCTGAATCTAAAGGCAAAATTCCCAAAATATTAAAATGTTAAGATGCCGTAACTGTCACAAAGCAGAAAAAATGTGTCAGTTTTAAAACTGTTGTCTAAAGGTCCATGTATTTCTAAATGACTTATCAGTAGGTATGATTTACATGTTTTCTTACCTTGAAAGAGACATGTTGTTCCATATGACGTAGGAGTTGTGGTTTCTGAGCAGCTGTATAGTCACACACTGTACATTTAAACTGCTTTCCTGAAATGAGAATAGAAAATGGAATAACTTCTTTCTATTTAAGTACAGAAACCTACTGATTATGTTTCCTCATAAAGATACCTAAAAAGTAAATATTTCAAACAGTCTCAACCTCTTTAGTACTTGACAGACTCAAAGTCTGAGTTGCACGCAGGACTCAACATATGCCATTAAATAGAGTCAATGAAATTTCTACTTTCTGCTTTGTGAAAAAACCCACACCCTTATTTCCACTCAGAAGTGCCATCCAAAGAAAGGTGTTATTTTAAATTCTACAAATAAGACATTATACTTGAAATTTCTTTAGGTGCCTGTGAGCTTTCTACTCAGGCACTAATACTGAAGGCACCTCCAACCTGTTATAGCAGCAATAAAAATGAAGAACAAGAACTGAAGTTTCAACTAATGAAAGCTGATGCTTAGAACATTCAGTCTAAAATATAGTAAATATTTTTAACAGAAGGCATGATTAATGCCTATGATAATTTACTTAGAAATCAGATGGATGCCCTGTCATGTGATGTCTTTAAATCAAGTCTGCTTAGCCCTTCCTAAAAGGATACACTTCAATCTGGTGGCAACCTGATGCAAAATTATGAGATAGCCTGTACTCTGCAAGAGATGAGACTTCTTGATGGTAAGTGTCTGCTTTTTCCAGGACAGTTTGAGTCCTTCATAAGGCAAGATAGTCAAAATTTGTTATGATATATTTTTAGGATTCCTTAACAGGAATGAACTCTTTCTGACACTTTCAAGAAACATCTATTGCTGTTTGTGGCTTTGAAAAGAGTGAAACTCCCAAACATAGTACTATTTTGAATGTTTCTTACTTTCACTTCAAAGCAATCTCTCTGACAAATCTTTTTCCTCCCCTTATAATTTAAAATAACATCCTTTTATTCTCTGGGTTTCACATTCTTTCTCCACTTTTGAGCTTTAAGATTCTATTAGTCCTGCTACCTCCAGCCAAATTACAAGGTGTATTATATACAAAAAGACTGTATCCTCTATCAAATGGCCATGGCTGGCAAACTGTATTTGACTGACATAGAATAAGTATGTGCTGAAAACTACCCAAAAGCAAAAGAACCAAAAGGAAGGATGGAGAAGTACAATATAAAATATTTTGTATTATCCAGAAGACATAAGATTTCTTTAGATTTTGGACCTTGCCCTAAAAAGTCACAAGCCCTTTATAATGAGTGTGAAAGTTTCCATCAAACATAGCTAAAAAAAAAAAATCTTACAGCAATTTCTGCTATCTAACTAAAATAATGAAAAGTAGATTTTCTGGTTTATTTCTAATCACAAACAGTAATACGCCTGCACTGCAGTATTGTTTTCTGTCATGCCACTCTTGAGAAGTCTGTCATCTGGAGAAGAATAAAGCAGACAGAAAACTACTTTATATTCCACTGGTTAAATTGACCTTGCAGGATGATATTTGAACAAAAATTGCCTGGATTCATAAGTCAGGAATACAAGACTCGTGAACAGCAAAGCATTTTTCAAAATCATTTATTTGTGAAAGAATTGAAGAACATAGATGTGTGCTAGTATGAACTTCTGAAGTGCTATGACTATAGAAAGGGACACTGGGCAGAGAAACTGTCAGCCTTGAAAAGGCTGAAAGCCCCTTGATAAAACATACACTACATTCTTAGTGACAAATGTTATCTTATTTTTCACAAGTATTTGAAATGCACAAAGAATTTACTGGGGTGGACTTAGTGAGGAAAACTACGGAGGACTCCACAACCAGTGAGATCCTGTTCCCACTGGAGCCAATGGCAAAATGCATTTTTCCAAAGGTATGCAAAATATAAGGCAAATGAGCACTTAGTCTGGGAATTATTTGGATCAGACCAAAAGGGAGTTACTGCGGAAGATTATAAGCCTGAAGCCAGATAAAAAAGGCTCCTGGTAGTAACAATGCCTTGAGAGCCAAGGCTTCAGTAAATGACCAGAGAATATAGCCCCTTGCATGCAATATTTAGAACCTCACACCTTTAAACCAAGCCCAGACCAGGCTAACTCCTGCATGACTACACTCCTGTTCTTAGCAGCGCCAGATTTTCAAATCAGCCTCATCTGAATTGCAGCAATCACTTGCACACATATATACTGTGCTCAAGAAATAGAACTAGCTCACAGGTAAAAATAAATTCAACTTGAATTGCTGAATTTCATTATTTGGATGTGCCAGATGGTGAAAACGAAACAGAAAGGTTCTGAAATGAAACTCCATGCAGAGATTCTTTTATGGCACCATAGTGCCATATAGTCTGATGATCATCCAAATTTTCTTTTAATTAAAATATAACCTGCCTTCTTCTCCCAGCCAGGAATCAGCTGAGGATTGCATCTGTTAAGTAAAATTGTTGATTCTTCCACACGAAGTGCAGATGTATGTGTAACATCTGCTTGCTATTGACCAAATTATTTTTAAAAATTGGAAAGTATTTTTTGAATTATGAGCGATTTTCTGACTCATGGTAATACCACAGTAATGTTGGTAATATTACAGTTGCTATATGCTTCTTATAATATGTATCATATCACTGTGATAAACGTAAACATCTCTGACACAAACCACATATATTCTAGAGATGTAAAAGAGCATGTGCATTTTCTGTGAAAGGACAAAGCTAATGAATATGTAATTTTTCTCCAAAGAATTCAAATTAAATATTTAATAAAGAGTGGAATGGATTTTCACAAGATTGTATGAGTAGCAAACATCAAACTACTAAGCCATAATGAAGGTCTGTATAGCTTATCTGGCCAAATCATTTACTTCACTTTGATAATCTCAGAGGAATAATGTATCGTTGCACCCCAAATTTTGAAAGAAAATATCATGTTTTTCTGGATTTGCATCTCAACTTTTTGTCATGGAGAATGCTCAGAGTTGTCACTGGCTTGACTTGGTCACATAGAGCTGCAGCAGCCTTCCCTCTATTGGGCTACTGGATTTGGCAGCCCCTATCAATATTCTCACTGGCAAAAGCACTTAACAGACTTGAACATGGAATTATTTGTATTTTCTAATTCTGAGACCAACATCTCTCAGTAAGAGGGTTACAAGGCCAACCCAAAATTTCACCAAAAGAACAAGTATTCCAGAGACAGATGTCTTAATTTTGCAGTTTTGAATTATTTTACCATGCCTCCTGGGAATAAACTAGATTTGCAAGTAGCACTTAATGTTGAACCTAAAATTGCTTGTTAATAAGGCCCTATAGTACAGTCAGTATATATAGCCCTAAAATAAACTTGGATTTAATAAACATGCACTTACCATCAGCAGTATGAAGGAGTTTATGGCTCTTCAAAGTGCCTTTTGATTTGAACTTTTTCCCACACATATCACAAAGGTGTGTTTTCTCAGTGCTGTGACGATTCATATGGGCTTTCAAGTTGCTCTTGCTGCGAGTGGCATGTTCACAAAGAGAGCACTTGAAGGGTTTGACACCTAAAAATAAAAAAAAAAATACACTATGAAACAAGTAAGCTCCACCTTTCAGTGAGAGGATGGACATTTGTTTGAAAGAAATTTCAGATCACGTGAACAACATAGACAAAAAGGTCAAAACTTTAAAATTTGGATATCTACATTTAAGAAATTCGGTGTATTTGATATCAGGCTCTCGATGGGATCATTTAGCATGCTAAGAAAAAGGAGGGGTTCTTTTAGAACAAAGTACTTCCCTACTGAAGTCAGGTACTGAGTTTAACCAAGCAAACAAAAATGTTTTAGTCTTGCTATGACCATCCTTCATTTCAAAATAGAATCCAGACTGCCTAAGTTGATGCCTAGCTGGTGTACATACCAAATCTCCCTCTAGAAGCCTTCAGATAACTCTAATTCTGTATTTACTGCAATAAAGAGTGAAGAAACCTGTTTTAGGAGGACTGGTTCATTAGGTTCTTAATATGTAAGTACAAGTTAAATGTGTAAAGCTGTGTTTTACTGTTAATTAGCATCAGATTTGCAGACAGCTTACACAGTAGTAGGGTTGTTTTTATTCCTCTTGGTAAAAACAAGCACTTAAATTCCACTTCTCTCAAACCATCCAAAGGATAGAGAGATACACAGTATGTCATCTAGCAGGTGGTCTACAAGAACAAAGTAAATCCTTCAAAGAAAAGTTTAATAAATCTGAGCTGGCAGAGTAGTTCAACAGTTTCAGGAGGCTCTGGCAGCTTTAGATTGATATTCATGACCTTAACACTAGATTTAGAGCATGAGGAATTATAGCTTACTTTACGCACACTTGATTGCACACTTTGATTTTGGAATAGATTTCCATTCACTTTTCTCTTGATAGTTAGATGAGATGCGTTTCAAGCTTTTCTGGCAGAATAAACAAACTGTATCTATGGAATACACAAGTGATTGCTCTAAGCCTACAACTCTGCATTACCTGAACTCCTCACTGGAGTAAGGGCTGCTGGAGGGGACCACTATTGTAGTACACAGGCAGGTAAGCTCATAGTTACAGCATTCAAACAAATATGCAGCACCAGTATAAATGTCTGAACTATCTGCATAGGAACAAAAACTTTGGAACCAGAATAGTCTCTTGGGAGTACCAAGCCCCTTTATCCCTTTATGCAGATGGATGGCTAAAGAATCCAAAATAATGTTCAAATGCCATAGACAATATAGTCCATAAATAATTAACTGACTAAAGACCATATGAGTGGTTTTCCAACCATTAAAGACAGATTGAGCAGACACAAGATTTTATAGGGCATAGTTTTTAGCTCCAAGGGATTTTTAACATATGTGTTGCCATTTTACTGGAATTTCTCCCTAAAAAAGTGATAGATATGATCAGTCTCATCTTGCAGGTTTTTCATCATAGTTCATGTCCATGTCACCTAGCTGCCACACTCAGCATGTTGGAATTAAAACACACACTAAAATTTTATACATACATCAAGGCAACTGGATTTCAGTTGTTTTACTAATAGATTTCCAGATCAAGTATTTTTGGACAACTGTGAAAGGAGCAGCAGTTATGCATGAGAAGTTACAGAGAATTACTTGTTGTAAGAGATTGAGCATGTAATTAATTCCTTCCTCCTCACTTGCATTTGTTATAGAATACTTTATGGACATTTATGAAAGAGTTCTGGATAAAAAATGAAAACATAAACTTATTAATATTATTGACATTGAAGAGGACAATTCATGTGTTGTGTTCATATATGATCCACTTATTAAGCTAATTATTTAACCTCTACTGTAGCCTAGAATTTTTTCTTCAGGTATAGCAAGAACTTTGAATTCCTTTTTTATGTCAGCAAAGCTTGTGTGGAATATGAGAGGATCATATGCCCAAAACCTTAAACCCAGAGTTTTACCTTCATGAGCCCAAATATGACGCTGAAGGTCTGATCCATTCTTCATAAAATAAAAATCACAGTAGGGACATTTCACAGCTCGTTTTCCAATAAGTCCTTTCAGCTGAACTCTTCTGCCAAGAACCTCAGAAATGGTAGTCATTGAAACCTCTGAGGGAAAAATTAAAGGTAATAAAAACCAGAAAGACATGAGAGAGTTTTTTCTTCTATGTTATATAAGTAATATTGAAGAGCTAGATCTTGATTCACTCCAACACTTTATAAGCCCTACTTCCCCTAATGCCACTTAGATAAGACTTGAGCAAGGGACATAATGACCTTTTTTCTTTTAGAGTTTCTAGGATGTTCTGTCCTTCCTGTTCTGTGTATTCAATGTCCTCACTGCCTGTTTAAAAAAATAGAATAAAATGTAAAAAAAGCTTGGATATGCCACTGTCTTAGAAATAATTTTTTAACTATGAACTTTCCTAATAAGCTAATTTGGCATTTTTTTCTTTCAATATTTTCAAAATACTTTATTTAGTATTTCATCTCAGATTGCCAGATTTCAAGGATATGAAGACAATTCACTTCAGCCACAGCTATAACGATTTAAATACCTGATAATCAGAAAATTTAAAGTTAAAAGCAGACTCATGGAATAAATGTGATTGATAAGGATGTCGAAGGTCACTTGCTCCAAAAGTAGGGACAACTTTTGAGTTCCAACTTCAAGGCTACATTAAGTTGCTTGGGGTCATACCCAGTCCTGTTCTTAACCTATCCAAGGATGGAGTTTCTGCATCTCTTGGCTCATTCCAGTGTTTGACCATCTTTACAGTAAAAACTATTTTCCTAATTTCTAATCAGAATCTCCTTGCTTCAACTCAAGTCCCTTCAATGTACAGTTCCAAAAAGATTCTGGTTCTGTCTTATTTTTAATCTCCTATTAGATAGCTGAAGACAACAGTTAAGATTCCTCTCCAAGTCTTTGCTTATTCAGGCTAAACACACTCAAAACTCTCAAGTCTTTCCTTCCTGCAATCCAGTGTTTTGGTTGTCACAGTGAAAAAGCTCAAAAGAATTAATTTTAAAATAAAATGTCCCAAATACACATAATGAAAACATTGCCAAATGCATTGAATAATTTGATTAATTTTTTGAAAAGCATTTCAGATTAATAAAAGCTATCACTTGACTCAATGCAAGTTCAGCACTCATGTAATCTAAATATTAAGACATGAAAGCTGGTGACTTATTATGCTCAAAGTCTTAGAAAATTTGAAAGGTACAGTCTAAACTTAGATTTTTACCAAATACAAACTGTCACACCTAGTCTCCTGAAGGTTGGTCCCAGAGTGTAATAAAAAATCCTGCCTGAACTCGTATGTATAAGGAAAATAATCTCGAAAGGGAAATATAAAAGCCCATTAACTGAGTGGAGATATGTTCTGAAGTACCCAAAAAAGAAAAATACAGGCACAATTCTGAACCCTCACATGCCTTCTATGGCTTAGATCTTCCATTCATGACTGTAGGCTAGCATATCTACTCAGTAGGGATCTATGAAAGCTGATGCTTCTCATGTCTCAGGACTACAAACAAATTCCATATTAAATCAGACAGGAGATGGAATGGTAGATAATTCTGAGAGCTGGGACCAGAATCCAAGACTCCTCCTTCAGTGCTGAATACTCAAATCATTTTGCAATAAAGCCAAGATCTCTGGTCACTTTGGTTTGAAATACTGTTCTATGAAAACCAACAGAGGTTTTTGCTCTACTGCCTTCATGGGACTAGAATTTAACTTCCATTCTTTGCAAATCCAGAAGACGCAGGAGTACGGTTTTATTTCATATTTTCTACCAGATGAAACAGAAGACACAAGAGAGGGGTCATGCTGAATGAATTTAAAAAAGGAAGGAGAAAGGAGCTCCAGAAATAGCATTTTAATCAAGGGTTTCAGTTTAAATTAATTTTTTATGTGCTGTTTTAAAATTCAATTCCTTTTAACAGTATGCACTTTTCTTTTAATCTTTATTCTTTTCCAATTTTAAAAAACAATTGCATTCATTCCACTGCTGTACTTCATAGTTTATACCATCAGATGCCTTATATTTATTTAGCTTGTAATTAAATATGTTGTAGGAATAAAGGATTTCTTTCTGATTATGAGGACAGCATGCACAGCAAAAAGATTTGTGCATTAATTCTCCTCTGTATATTAAAACAGTGTTGTTGCATAACTACTGCACAGGCATCTCTTAGAAGCAAAATACAAGATTTATTAGATGTATCTCCATGGTTCTAAATAAATACTACATCTAAGTGCTATTTGCCTACAATATATGAATTAAAAATGAGGACACAAAATACTAGGCCGTGCAGATTTTCTTTTCTAACCTTACTTCTATTATAATCCAGAGTTTAAAAGAACCCACTTTCCTGGATCAAAAAATAACACAATTTAATTAATTAAATTCATTATTTAAATGCTTGAGTTTAGCACACCAGGGCACCAGAGCTAACTGGTATTTCTGGATGCCAGAAACAGCACACACTAGTAATTCAGCAGTCAATAGACCACTGCAATGGACCAATGATAACCTGAAAGGGCACAGTACAAAATGTACTACTAGTTCACATATCATATTATTTAGGAAGGCCTCCTATACTTCCTGGCTGGGGCAGCAAAAAGGCTTTACAGGCACTGCTCTTGAGACTCAATTTCTACTCTCAGTGGCTGACATACCTCCTGACTAAAGTATAGCACAGAAGCCCTTCCTTGTCTCAATTTGCTGCATCAAACATATCCCCTGATGACAAGCCCTTCCCCAACCACACTGTTGTGGAGTGGTCTGCAAATGAAAACCTTTGGTAACTTAAGAACTAAAGGAGGAATTTGTTTGAAATTAAGTGAAAGAAATTGTTTAAAACATGGGCCTAGCACTATCTACTGACAGTAGGAAGATCACAAATTACTGCTTTATCTCTTATGCTGTATTTCAGACAAAGACAGTAAAATTTTGTATTTTTTTGTCTTTCCCCAAACTCATTTTGAGGGTGCCTGGCATTTTCTTTCTTGATATGAAATTATGTCAGGTGACTAGCAACACTGTGGACTAGTTAACTGACTATTGGACAATGCAGTCAGCTCTCCTTCATTCACAGTAGCAGTGGGCCTTTCTATCCATCCTAACACTAAGGAGGAAAGTATGGACACACCATACGGCCCTGCCAAGTTCACACCAGGCAGGTTTAAATCAGTCCCTGCACAAGTCTCTTGGGTACTTTGGCACTGAATGCCCAAGACTTGAGAAAGGATTGTTTACTCAGGCACAGCAGACTTCACTGTATGCTGTGCTTGCACTGATAAATCAGAGCACTAGAATGCAAGGTATAAACTGAGTCAGAATAGACTGCAGTGGTTAGATCCATCTTAAAACTGGCCATATCCATCACAGGTGGTCCTAGTGTAAGCCCTGCTGCAGAATCCAGTTGGCCTTTGAGGGTAGAGCCCAGCTGCACACTCAGCTCAGGGACTTCTGGATTCACCTCTACCTACAGACAAAACAACGTGCCATAAACCCGTATCTCTCAGTTTAGGTATGGCCAATGGGAATTTTAGGCCTGCTACAGGATATTTATATGCCCAGTTCCAAATTCCAAAATACTTAATTTGAATCCACCTAGTTCTTTTTTTGGAAATGAGTTATTTGACAGACAAAGACAGATTTGTTATCATGATTATCTGTCATACTCCACAACACACAGGCTGGAACAGTAACTAGTTTTCATTCTAAATTCGACCATCTGCATCTGCAATGCAATTCTTATTCTAAACCAGTTAAATTAGACAGACTCTTCTCTTTCTTCAGAATATAATCACATTACACTGCTCACTCTAAATCTTTATCCATTTATTGCAATAGACTGAGACATTTTCCTTGATTTTTTCTTACCAGGATGTTTTGTCTTGATGTGCGATTTTATGAGTCGATCTTCAGAAAATGATTTCTCACACACAGGACAGGAATAACTCTTGTTATTGTTAAGCAAGAAAGAAAGAAAGAGAGAGAGAGATTGGGTTATCAGCTCACTGGCGTAATCACTAAAGTAATTATGCAGTAATACATGGTTCCCAACAAATTTATAATTGAAGGTTCATTTTTTAAGGAAAATATGAAGATACTTATCATGAAATAAGTGAAGGAGAAATATTAACGTATTCTAAGCACATTATTAATCCACATAAATAAGGGCTCAAAATTACAGCACACGAGAATATGCACTAATAATTATCTTCTGACCAACCCCAGACAATTAAGAGTCTAGAGACCAGGTCATATAACAGAAAAAATCATTTGACATAAGCAGTAATATTCAGAGTTTTTTCACAAGTCCACCCCTCTGAAAACTATAGATCAGATCTCAGAATTCTGAAGACATCCACCAGTAGGCTTATTTTTAATGCTACTTAATGGCCTGAAATTGAGCAGAAAAGCTAACAAGGACAGATACTAGAAATAATATAATACACTGATTAAGTTCTAACTATAAATATTCAGCATTTTAAGTATTACCAGTGAAGTATTATTCTACTATTTCAACTTAAGAGACTACTCTGGCTTTTTTCAATGTCAATGATCTCATAAAAGATTTAACACCATCAAACAAGTTGAACGGGAGAGTTCTGACAATTTCTTCCTACACGCAATTTTAGTTTAATTGTACTTCACAAGCACATCTAACTCCACATCAACTGGTATATGACCCTATTTAAATAATCTTTGCTGCTTATTTTATAAATTGAAGATGATGTCAGTTCCAGAAGCACCTGCTGACACAACAGACCAGATGCTCAATCAAATGAGTGGGTCATGTAGTTACCTCTGAACAGACCTGATGAACATACGAATGGATTATCAAAACAGATGGAGTGAAGAAAGTCTAGTTGGTTCTGAAAACTGACAAAAAGATCACGTTACCCGGTGGGAGATGTGATCCTACCAAACTAGCAAGACATCACTGTAAAAGGTAAGTGAAGCTACAGAACAGGTATTTTACTAGTTATTTCAGGATAGTAAACCTCTTGAAGAGCATGAAAGGAATATTACTGTACCAAGAAGAGACAGAATCATGTGTTATGAAAGAGATATTTGGACCTAAACGGAGAATAAGGATCCTCAACTCCACGAGTTTCTGACATGAGACCAAACAGCACCTCTGAATAGTGAGAAAAAATGTACCAGGTTATTATTGCATCTGTGTCACAGTTATGCATCTATAATTGGACATCTCACTTAAAAGTAAAGCAAAAATTGGTAGGTTTTCATAGAAAAAGGGTTTTGGAATATGATGCAGGTGTCATGTATTTCTGAGAAAGAAACACCTATGTTGAAGCACCTACACATTCAAAACAGAAGTAGCCCTAGAACTGAACTCATGATAGCAGCACATGGGATATGAAGCTCTCAAGGAGAAGGTCATTTACTCCTGTGAGAAAATTACACTAGGGACTGGGGATGGCAGCTACTAAAGGATTACCACCCCAAGGAGAGTAAGGAGAGTATCTTATAGAATCACAGAGCGGCTGAGGTTGGAAGCGACCTCAAAGATCATCAGGTTCCAACCTTCTAGTTACACTAGAAGAAACAAAAAGCAAAAGGGAACAATCAGACCTCCACTCCACACACACTACTTGAAGTAAATGCTGTAATTGTGACCATTTTACATTCTTGTGACTACGGTTCAGGAAGGCAAGGCTATAGGACTACACCTGAGAGCAAAAAAAAGCACAACCATCAGTAAATGCATCAAGAGCTATAGAGCAACATGAAAGTATGGGCACCAAGAACATAAGTTTTTCTACATGATGAGTGTAACAAAATAATACAAACAGCTTCCTCCAAGCAGTTAGAAAGTTATCTATACCAAGTTCTGCAGTAAATAATTTTCAAAAAGGACATCCTTTGTAGTGTAACAGATAGTGCTTCTGAGCACAGAGTCCCTTCCACATGGATCTGTCAAGCTGCAATCTCTCAAAAACCACCCAGTTGAAGCCAAACTTTTTATGTTTTTTTTGTCCAGGTTACAGACTTTTGGAGTTTATGTTATTAGTTTTGAAAGTTTAAGTGTGCTACTGTCATTGCCCTGAGAGCTTGTGACAGTGTTAGTCCTTTGCTGTAATGCCATCACTCTCAAAAACTGCTTTTAAGAAACCTCTGTTTCAAATGAGGTATTTCAGAGCACCCAGGTCACAACACAAAGCCTCAAAGAAGGTCTCTCCCACCACAGCTTAACCTCTTCAGGATGCCCTTGTCACAGGCAATGACAGAGACACTTTGAAGGAGTTACACTGAGGTTGTAGTAATACCTTCATCACATTCTCAGCATGTAAGATTTCCTCTGGTAAGAATAAAAAATCATCCTATACCTTATCAGAGTACCTGCCTTTTAAATGTCTTTGAGGTTTTTCTGAAAGACTAATAGAAGCAAAATACCAAGGGAGTCAGATCTACGTTTATTAGAGACCAGCTGCATAGTCCAATCAGTTAAATTTCAAAGTCACATCCACACTTGCTGAGATTTTCTTAAGACCCCTATTAGCCAACTTGAGAAGAATATAAGAAACTTAAAATAATTCCAATATAAAGTTAGCTTTCTGGCTGAAAATACTGTTCAGTACCCAAAACTGTGAATATTATTCAATCCAGTAAAAAAAAAAAAATGGTCTGATACTACCACAGAATCTTCTATGTTTCATAATAAAAGAAAGGCACTGAGATAGGAATCACTATGTCTGTTACATACATGAATTAAAATTGTGCTAAGAAAGCACCAGCTATATTACATTACCAATTTATAGCTCTCTGAAGAGAATTTTGTTTCTCTAAGGCATGTGGCTTCAAGAGAATTCAAGGGGTATGTGCACCAGTATGCAGTAATGAAAAAAAGAAAAATTAAAAGCTTCCATAGATGTGGCATTTAAACCCAAAAGATCATTATTATATTTATTCAATTAAGTAGTACTAAGTATTACCTATATCACAAAACATCAAAAACATTAGCAGCTGTTCTATTGCACTCATCAGTAAAGAGACTGACACAAATATCTCTCTTATCAACATACACATAAGGTCTTCTAGCATGTGACCTATACAGCAATTCTGCCACTAATTTCAAAAGAGACTCTGTGAACTCCAGAAGGTCTTCTTATCGATTTCATTACTGTAAAATTAAGACCATGGCCATAATAAAAAGTTTTCAGGCCCACATGAGACAAGTATGTTATAGAAATCAGCTATCTATTCCCCTCCTTCTAGTAGTAGTGACATAATTTTATAATCAGGAAATGAAGTTGTACTAAGCATTGGTACTCTGAGAGCATTTCCAGAAAAAGTTTAATATTCATAATTTATCCTGTTCACTAAATAAGACAGGCAGCCAGTTGAAAAGCAGCCAGCAACAAAGTAACAAAAGATAAGCATTCATATAAGAAACTGAACTGAGATTTTGAAATCATCTATCTCCAGAGAAGCTTTAATTTTAATAGTCATTAAGAATTGATTTTGCAAACTAAAATTAACATTAAAGCAGCTTTCCACATTCGACTGTGCAGTCTTTTATTTGCAATGAGTGGTCCTGTCCAGTGAGGGATGCATTAACTAAATACCCCAGGCAGTGGGCAAAAAGGCCAATATGAGAAATGCCAAGTTTAGGTACTGAATAAATCCTAATATATTAATTTTTCAGTCCATTTGAATACTCAAATATATTTGACAGTAAGCATCAGTAAGAATTCTTCTGTAAGACCTTCCTGTCACGCTGGGTTTAATTATGGAATGCATTTTCCTGGTTCCATTTAGTATCATGAAAATGATGCTCCTGGTGGGAGCTGCTGGACATTCATCACACTTGAAATTTAAAAGGTACTTAGGTAAGGATATAGGAAATCTACTTTTAGGCTCTTCTTTCTTAAGTGCTCTCAGATATCATTTACACAGATTTTTGACCTCAGATGGACATCATAAACAGAATAAATTCAAAAGCAGCCTAAAAGAATTATTAGATTCTGTGTAAAATGCTATAGAATTGTCAGGCAAAAGGGGGGAAAATGTTCCCTTTTCTGTCACCTGTTTTAGTTTAGTTTTTAAAGCTGTCCTGCAGATACAAAAGACTTAACAAACTAGGAGGTGAAGTGTTCTGCTCTGTCACTAACACCTTTAAGGTAACTTCAGCTGCTGCAAGTATTGGGCCAGAGCCCACCTGCTCATTGCAGAAGAGGAGCTGAAACCACTAAACACTGTATGTTAATAGCTTTTCTCAGTAGCTATGCAAAAAAAATGTCCACATCTGGGGAAAAATTAACATAAACCTTTATGTAACTTAAGCATCACATTTCACTAGTAAAAGTAAGTGCAACAACAATATCACAGGACTAAGTGGGCTGTGATGTTTCTTTCTCATGTGATTAGGAGGAATGTGTCATGTGGTGTGTTCTATCAAGGGTAAGATTTATTTACAAGATAATGCCAGCAAAAACCATGTTATGTAGAGATAGAGCACAATCTGTGTATCTCCTTGTTCTCCAAGGATAAATGAGTGAGTGTTTCAATTAAACAACTAGTATTTTATCCTCTGTTGGAAGAATAAATTCAAGAGGTAAATCAGTATTTTACTGCATAAATTATTAAAAATCCAAACTGCTAGGATGTAGCTCATGCCAATATTCTGGCAACACCATTAAGAAAGTTTAATTACAAATAGCATGCTTGTGAAACATGTTATGAAATCCTAAATTGCACTTCATTCAATACCAGTAGTTTCATGTAAAATAGTATGAGGTCATATGTTCCACCTAAACAAGCCAGATGGCCTCCAGGAGAGACTACAGTCAAAAGTGGACTAAATTAATTGTTCTGGGAGAGCAGGCACTTGCCAAACACCTTGTTATAGAGGTCAGTATAGAATGTACTGACCTTGAGAGGATCCTGACACATGGTAGGAAAAGAAGGTAACACCAACATAAAGAAATTCATTGTTTTTTCTTAATCTTCAAAAACAAAAATCATGGCAATAATTTCAATTCCAGAAAAGCATCTTAATCAACAATAAAGACTAAAATCTCATTCCATAGTTTTAAAGTATTTCTTATTCTGAATACGGTAATATGGTTTAAAAAACCTACTTCTGAAACAAGTGCAAGCAGGGTTGAAGAAAAATATAGTTTTCATCAAAAGATCATTAATGTTATAATGCTGGATCAAAACAAGAACACAAAGCAGAGCCTTGCACAAAGTGGGCTTCCAGTCAGGCATGCAGCCCCGTGTGGTTTAAAAAACCTACTTCTGAAACAAGTGCAAGCAGGGTTGAAGAAAAATATAGTTTTCATCAAAAGATCATTAATGTTATAATGCTGGATCAAAACAAGAACACAAAGCAGAGCCTTGCACAAAGTGGGCTTCCAGTCAGGCATGCAGCCCCGTGCAGAGTCTCAAAGACAAGATGTGACAGGGCACACTGAAGAAGCAGACCAGACCTGTTTCTAACACCACCAATTCAGAGCTGGAGATTCAGAGCTTACTGAGTAAGACAGACACCTTGAAAACATGATCTCTGCATCTTTGTAACCACACTAGAAAATCATAGATGTTCAAGGTGATTGGCTACAACTAGCTGGAGATATTTGGGAAAAAAAATAATTATTGTCAACAACTTCAACTTCTTCTGTCCATAGTAACTGAGGAACATACTTTCTCTTTACCACAAGTATCTGTTTATTAAGGCAGGGAATTCAGCTCAAAGGAATAAAGTAACAATAGTACCAGAGCTCATTTTACCCTCTCAATATCCAAAGAATCTGAGAATATTAGAAAAATTGAGGGGAGAAAATGGATACAGAGATGGTACACTGGAAACTACTATGAAAGGGACCAAATATTTACTTCCTGTCACTCATGTATTCCCTGTAGAGATGTATGCAGAGAGCATTCAGCTCAGAACTCTTACCTATGTCCTCAAATACTGCCAATAACTCCAAACAAGATGAACATGACCCTGAACTAAGGCACATACTGTTTTGTTTGGTACTTACCAGCTCTGTGTGAACTTTAAGATGTGCCTGGAGCTTGTATTTATCTGGAGTAGAGTAGTCACAATGTTCTGTGGGACACTTCAGCAAAATATTACTGTGTTTCTGAATGACATGACGCTTGAGGCAGTTTTTGGTGATAGAAGAATAATTGCACTGGGAGCAATAATATAAATGTTCTCGAGTGTGCGTACGGACGTGCATGTCATAATGCACTTGGTACCAGAACAACTTGCCTGGAAATAAAATTAGAGACAAAGAAAGTAAGTTCTAAACAATTTTTAGTGAAAATGCCAACACACACTCAATTTTTTGGGGGGTAAAACCCAGTTTGAATCCCGTCCCTTCTGTCTTCAATGAAAACTTGTGCTAAAGACCTCTCACTATTGAAACTATGTTCACAAAACCACATTTGTCTAAAAAGACTGTTACACGTCCTGAAACAGAATAACAAGGGCAACTTTAACACACATCTATAATATTTTTCCTGGTGAGGAAGTCCTTTAAATTTGTTCTCCTCTACAAAGAATCTGAATGTAACTGTACACTAAATGAGACTGTATTTTTTTTTTTTTTTTCACTCCCTTTCAGGTTATTCCTTCCTAAAAGCTTTTCTGACATAACGGCACCAAAAAGAAAAAGTACATTGCAATTCATCTAATGTACAATGTTATGTTGCTTCAAAATTTTTGTCTTCCAAACTTTGATTTCTTTCTCACGAATGATGGCTAAAAATTAAATCCTAAATTGTTTCCTTTCCAGCTATGCAAAACCAAAAATTTTCAGTTAGAATAAATGGGAACAGTGGATTGTTCCCATTTTCATGTTCTCAAAAAAACTATTACAATCAGAACAGCCTTGACCTGATACTACTGTAATGGAAATACAGTATCAACAAGACTCTGAATTTTATACTAAGTTGATAATGAAGAACTGAAGCATGGACTGACTAATGCTGATCACATGCCTAAATCTGCTGTGCTTGACCCTAATGAAAATTATGAGGAGAGGCACATGGATACAAATAATCTGATTGTATCAAATTTCATAATAACAGAAAAATGAGCCTAGCAAAGCGTTGCTATGCTATATTCCACTAATGGGTTTTTTTGAAGGGATTTTTTTCATTTCACACTATTTTTACAGCCCAAAATAAATCTTGCTGGACCCCAGAATCTATACTGAATTACAAAATTAATAGTGCTACAAAGATACACACATATATCAAAATTAACCAGTGGAGCAGGAAAAAAATGGCTCACTATATAATATTTTAAAACAACAAAACAAAACCCATCATTCCAGTACTCCTTACCACAATATTCACATTCCAAGTCTCCATAAACTTTCCTTATCCTCTCACACAACTCTGTGTTCATTTGTCTCTTCTGCAAGCTGTCCAGGATCTGCATAAAGGCAGCAGCTCCACTCCCACTCTCCGATGTAACTGCATGAGAAGGGGCTGCCTGTGGACTGAGGGCTGCATTAGCCTCTGGTGCTGACAAAGGGTCGGTGGTTTCTGATGAATTTTGAGTTGGTGGATCGCCTGTTTCTGATTCACTAGAAGGAACAGACTGCTTTCTCTCCTCAGAGACTGAAAGGCTTCCGGTCACTGCATTGTCCTGATTCGGATTTAGACTTTTGTCTTCAGTCAGCAAAAGCTGAATTTCTTCACCCTGCTCATTTACAGAACTGCAGTGATTAATTTCCTCTTCATTTGCAGGAGAAACTTTTAACTCCTCAGAACCAGAATTACCATCTTTCAGCAGAAAGCAATCAGCTGCTACACAGGACTGAATGGTTGGGACTGCTATGTCTGTTGTCTGACACAGTGTCTGTGTTACATTCTCCACAGGAGGATTTTCAAATTCTAACAAAGGGACACCATTGATTTTTAAGTCATCATTATGTTGACTATTATGGTTTACACCTGCAGCTGTGGATTCACCTTCACAAGCAGATGGCTGTGCTGTGTTAACAGCATCAGTACTGGTGACAGTCAGTTCATCTGCACTTTGTGCTAGCTGTTCACCAAGGGCTTCTGGCTGGATATCACCTCCTGGCTCAAGGAGGCAGAAACTCTGATTGATAGAACTATCAAAGACAGAAGCCTCATGCAAATCCGCGTGCACATCTTTGATGTGAGCACGCAGCCTCACAGAACTGACAAATTTCTTCAGGCACACAGAGCACACGTAAACAAACGGGTGTTTTCGCACGTGAAGCTCCAGGGCTTGGTATTTAGTGGCCCCATGACCACAGAGCTCACAAGCAAAGGGCCTTTCATCCCCATGAACAAGCATGTGACGGTCTCGATCCAGCTCGTTTTTGAAGATGCGCTCACAAATCCGGCAGTCGTACAGGAGCTGCCGCTTGCCCTCCCGCGTCATCAGGCGAAGCTCATCAAACACATCTTTCACCTTTTTGTCTTGAAGGTCGTGTGTTTCCTTGATGTGCTTGATCAAATTTTTCACATCCGAGTACTTCTTTTTGCAGAAGCGACAGTGCTGCTTGATTTTCTTATGAACCCTTTCGATGTGGACTTTGAGGTGGCCTTTGCTGAGGCAGGTGAAGGTGCAATAATCGCAGCTGAACTTCTCCCCGGTGTGTTTCCGCATGTGAACGTTCAGGTTGGCTTTGATGGCACTGGCATAACTGCAGTGTGAGCACTTGTAAGGTTTTTCATTGGTATGGATCCTCAAATGGGCTTGGAGGGAGTGCTTAAATTTGAACACCTTGTTACAGTATTCACATGTGAAAATCTTCAGCTGAGTCGGACCCAACCTAAAATGAAGGCAAACCTGTTATATTTGCAATATTGAATCATGGTGACATAATATGTCAAAATTTCCCCAGATATTCATAATGGACATAAATGTTTAATTTACTTTAGAAATATATTCTCCACAGGCTTTCTAAATTCTACAACTTATGAACAGATTATTTTCATCTGTTCCTTTATTTAAAGGCTCAGAAAATGTTTCAGTTTAATGAAAATGGATAGGGAGGCATTTCAGTCATATGTTGCATGAGCATAAATCTAAGTACTTCAAAATTACCTGCTAGATTTCATTGCCTGTTCACATGGGGTTTGCTGAATAGCATATTCCTGATACCCTTTTCGTTGTGAGGGGTCTTGAGCTGTGGCTTCTGGAGTTGTGGGTTCACTTTCTTGGGGAGTAGCCTCAACAGGAACAATTTTTGTGGCTCCTAAAAGCAAGAACAAATGCTGGCCATTACATCATACTGTAAACAAATATGTAAACAAAACATTATAATCTGTAATCATTAGTTCAGCTTTTTTAGTTTCCACTCTTGAATTCAGGTGTATAAAATGATGGCTGCACTTGCAGAAGACAACAGTATTTACACCACAGATCTGTTTAAGTATCACACCAGGACTGCTGGTTCTGAGGGTTATTCACGGTGCTTGATGTTTGCTATCGTGAGGTCCTATACCCAAATACTTTCACTTTTAAAAACCAGTAACTTTTCAAAATGAAATTTCAGTTTTTCTGTTGCGGGCTCATACTAAATCCTTTGAAAACTTCAGCCAAGCTGTTTAATCAGTCCCACATATAAGGCTGGGGAAAAGCCACTGTTCAGTCTGTATTTAAAAATCTGCACATCTTCTCCTTAAACTGATCTTGTACTGCTTTTATTTTGGGGCATGTTGCCATCCCCTCAGAATAGAAGAACGTTCCGTGCACACTTCTCAGTCTCCACTAGAAGCAGGAGTACAGAGGTTCTACCAAACACAGTAAGATCAAGTTCTGTCCTTCAGAGCTTTACAGTTAGTTGAAGGAAAAATAAGCACATTTTGAGATGTGATTGAGTTGAGATTATTTAGCTGGATGTTCCTTATTTTCTGAACAGTGGCAGGAAAAAGTTAATGGTGGGAATCTATAGTTAGCATCGAAAATAATGAAAATAATAAAAATATTAACTTACACTGAAAAAACCCCAACCAAAACCTCATGTATGTGAAACCAAGCATGCATTATTGATTGAGCCCCTCCTTTTTAGCTTCCTTGTGTGTCTGTCACTCATCAACACACACATTCAATAGGAATGGTATTATTTTCAAAAGTAACACGTACTAAATAAAAATCTTTGGAAAAAGAATATTGTGCTTTCTGGTCTGATAATGCAAAATTAATAGTAAATGAGGGATCATATACTGAATAACAAAGAAAAACATAACATTGAATATGCAGTAACAGATGCACACCCACCCATCATAGGTAAAAAGTAGGAGAGGAACTGTAATTAAAGTTTGCTCTATCATATATTGATGACAAAGAAGCAAGAGAATTTGCACATGAAAACATCTTTGAATTAAATAAAAGTTAACAACTTCTGGCAAAACTGAAATTGGGTAAGTTTCAATTTGTTTTCTTCTTCTTGAATATGAAATTAATATCTGATCTCATTTCCATTCACCTGATTAGGAGCTGAGGAGGGAAATGTACAACACACCTTGTGATAGAGGGAAGAATTCACAATAAGAATCAAAAGAAACCTGAGTCACAAAAGCTTAGCAAGGTCATAGAAAACAAAAGACAGAGTCAACATACTCAGTGTATTTTAAACAGATTCTCACTGTCATACATATAGAAATTTATAAAAAATTAAAGACACCTGAATAGAAAATAGAAAGTTCAGAGAACTACACACAAGCCATTCCCCTCAAAGAGCACATTCCTGAAGATGTTTTTTACAAAATAGATGCAGGATTACCAGTGTTTCTCTGAAACTTTTGCTAGACTACAGGCTAAAAGGCAGGCAGAATATATGGGAAAAATCAGTAATAAGTGGGAATTACCCAACAAGATGTGAAAAATTAAGGGAAATTAAGTTGAGAAAGCAGTGCTGTTAATAAGGTAAGAAAGGAAGAGAGAGATTCTGTGGGTCCTTCAGAGTGATTTAAAGCAGGAAATAGAGCTCTTTTGTGAAGAGGCCATTTGGGAATATGTAAGGTTATTGAAGCTTTTTGTATCAGATGGGACGTGAGCCAACTCTGTAAGTAAACAGACTGTATGTCATGGTTTGACCTGGCAGGCAGCTAAATACCCACTCAGCCACTTGCTCATTCTCCCCCTGCCTTGCAGGGAACAGGGGAAGAGAATTAGAGAGGTAAAGAAACTCGTGGGTTGAAATAAAACCAATTTAATAATAGAAATAAAATATAATAAATACTAATAAAAACAATAAAAGAAGTATATACAGACAAGTGATGCACAGTGTAACTGTTACCACCTGCTGACCAATGCACACCCAACCCCTGGCTAGCAATCCTGGAGGAGATAAACTCTGAAACTGCGGTCCTTGAAGAGAGAGGAAACTTCCCAGCCAACTCTCATTTATATACTGAGCCTGATATTGCACAATATGGAGTATCCTGTTGGCCAATCTGGATCCATTGCCCTGGTGTCCTGGTTTGAGCTCCCTCTCAGCTTCTTTTGCACCTCTATACTAGCAAAGCATGGGAAGTTGAAACGCCCTTGATTTCTTAGCAACAACTAGAAATATCAGTATGTTTTCAACCTTCTTCTCATATCAAATCCCATACTAAATCCAAAACACAATCCTATTCTATCTACTAAGAAGAAAATTAGCTTTTTCCCAGCCAAAACCAGGATACTGTAATAGCTCCACTGCTCATTGAAGTGGCTGGATCTAACAATTACTTCTTTTTACTACTGTTTATTAATAATAATGCCTTCAATACAGTACTAAACATTCTGCCACTTGGTCAGAACTGATCTTCCATGTTTTCAACCTAAATGTTACCAGAACACTCTAATTTCTGTTCTTCCTGTCACTCCCCCTCCCACAAATGCTAGGTTGTCCAGCAGGACTGCATCTCCCAAACTGCCCTGGAGAAGCTCAGTGAGACAGGCACTTGTTGTTACAATACAGGAGATGTAGTTCAACAAGTGGGCTTGGGATAAAGATGATAAAGACACCAGAACAGTGTTCCCAGACTTCAGTATTTTTAAAATCAAAGCAAATGTTTCTGTATTTAGAACCACTCAGTTGAAAGAAAGAAAATGGATCTTGGACTGCTCCATATGCGTGTGTGTGTATATATACATACGATATATATATCTACCTCTCTCAGGTGGAATGAATGTGAGACACAGATCCTTTTTAAATGCTCAGCAATAAACCTCATCCATGCCCTTCTGCCCTTCAGGATATTTGAGCATTTCCTGAAAAGACTGTTGAACTGTTTAACAGACTTTTGTGTTATCAGTATAAAGTTTTAATCACCTAAATTTAATGGACTGGATAAGTACTAGCTCACCAGTATTTTGCATGTGGACAGAATGGAGTGGACAGAATGCTCCAGGTCATCCTAAAACCACCACCTACATCCCCCATGCAGTTAATAGAGAGGCAAATACCTCTAAAAACCTAAAGGAGATCCAATTCTCCAAACATACTGATTGTCTACTTGGTCACAGGACACAATCATGACCCTTCATGTTAAGTAGTTACTTCCTAACCTTAGAAAATACAGAAGCATTAAGAATGCTCCATTCACCAGGATGCTGCCCAAAGTATGGGCTACTAAGGGTCCAGCAGCCACAGTGACCGCTGCCATAACAAACTAATGACAAAAACCTATGCCCAGAAAGTGAGAAATTTGACTTCTAGGCTGTACCCCACCTAGTAAGTAGTGAACCCACATGTTCCACATCCCAAGAGAATGCTCTCATTGCTTATGCCTCAAAAAGCACTACCAGGCTAGGGCAAAGTACAAGAACAAGGCAAACAGATACAAGGTCTAGTTTGCCACTAAAAATACCATATGCCAAAAGGGAAGATATTTTTTTTTTCCTATCTGTTTCCCTGGACAACAATTTCAAGAAGTCAGAATATAAATTCCAGGGGGAAAAAAGAGGTTAACTGTACTGATAATTTCTTTTAAAAAAATCCTTCCTCCAGCACTGCTTTATTTCTGTTTAAAGTGCAGAATGGACTTTATTTTACTACACTTTATGTCTTTTGCTTTCCTCTTTTCCATCAATACCATCTGTTTTAAATAAATCTCCTTTAAAAGTAGTAAGATCTGAATTTCTCATGACATTCTGACAGCAACTTCTACAGATACACATCACCCAGTGTGCCTTATCTCTAGCTCAAACTCAGTGATGGACTCTAATCTTTCATAGTCAGTCCCTTCAAAAAGCAGCTTCTCCTCCACTACAGAGCTCTCCAATACTTACAAGCAGCCTGAAAGGTAATCACAATAGAAGGAATATTAGGAATGGATCCAAAATAAAACAGGAAACATCATTAAACAAATTTCTACTACAATCCAACTAAACTCCTTAAACCTCCTACAACTTAAAGTATGGACAACAAAAAAGAATATAGAAGAACTGGAAAACATAAACAAAGATAAAAACAAGTATTTTCTTTGGAAAAGGAATATGTATCTCTGAAATCTTCAGCTTGGAAGAGAGATAAATGAAAGAAGAATATCAGAAAAAACCTCTCAAATTATTAAAACCATGAAAAAAGTGTGAATAATTATTCTCTCTCATAAGCCATGAACAAAGAGTAGTTTGAAGAACGAAGCAGTCAGCAGGCTTAATATGAGACAACAGAATGTACATTTTCACCCTGTAATTAAATTATGGAACTATTACTGCACAATGTTAGAGAGACTGAAAATATAAATGTATTCAAGAAAGGATTTAGACAAAGTAATAGATAACAGATTCTTCCTAGTATCTAATCTAAACCCCCCCTGGTGTAACTTCAGCCTATTTCCTCTGGTCGTGTTATTTACTTGGGAGAAGAGGCCCACACTCACATCCCCACAACCTCCTTTCAGGTAGCTGTAGAGAGCAATGAGGTCTCCCCTCAGCCTCCTCTTCCCCAAACTAAACAATCCCAATTGCTCCAGCAGCTCCTCATGAGACTTGTGCTTCGTTGCCTTTCTCCGGACTCATTCCAGAACCTCAGTGTTCTTGTAGTGAGGAGCCCAAGAACTGAGCACAGTACTTAAGGTGCAGCCTCACCAGTGCCGAGTACAGGGGCATGATCACCTCCTACTGCTGGTCACTCTATTCCTGACACAAGCCAGGATGCTGTTGGCCTTCTTGGTCACCTGGGCACACTGGTGACTCATGTTCATCCAGCTGTCAACCAGCACCCCCAGGTCCTTTTCTGCTGGGCAGCTCCAGCCACTCTCCCCCAAGCCTGTAGTGTTGACTGGGGTTGTGACCAAAATGCAGGACTCCTTTCAACAAAGCTGGACATCATATTGGCAAAGCTAAACCAATATCTAACCCCATGGTAATACAGAACCCTGTTCACATTCAGATGTGTCATAAACACATGACCATCTTTCTGTGAGCTACAAAAAAAAAGAAAGTCACCTTCAACAGAGAAGACTGTTCCCAAGTTTAAGGGAAAAGACTTATCAACAGTTAAACTAAGTCACTTAGTCCAAAATATTGAGCAAAAGGACATTCTTCCACTTCTTTCTCCCTTACAAAATCTTGATGGGGAAGCAGCCAAGTGTTTGTGAGCCAGAGCACAGAGCAGGAGGAGGATGCAGCTGCCCTTTCATGGATGGTGATTCTTCAGTGGAATTAGGCAGAGAAAAACCTGCACAGGCATGTATTGAGAATTAGCAGTATTAAAAAAAAAAAAAAAAAATCAACTTCTTTAGAAATTAAAAAAACCACAACATTAAAATTTTAAATATTTATGCTATTTTGGTATATATTGAACTCTACCAAAAGGCCCCAAGAATTCTACCACTGATCTTCATTAGAGGATCTTAAAACAGCTCTCCTAGTAACAAGCTGAGTCTTTAAAATATTACAAGACTTGCATAAAACAACAATTTGAAGGTTCAAAGAAGAATCTCTCCTGAATCAAACTAATTGAGCATGAATAATAAATTTGTTTTAGAAACCTGACAAACAGAAAATATTTTTTTAAAAAAATTGAATATTTGGCAGAGTTTACTCACTGGTTCTTAAAAACAGACTAGGAACACAAGTATCTGCCATTGAAAGCAAAGTATTTGTAGATGTGCATATAATTGTAGTTATTCATTCTCATTCTTAATTGTGATGCTTATGAAGAACTGTACTGCATTTAATCTGATCCAAGGCATGCATGTTCATGAACACAGCACTCTCTCTCTTCAAGGTCTTTGGGTGCCTCCAGTTACAGAACCATAACATGGTTTGGGCAGGAAGGGCACCTTGGAGATCATCCAACCCCCTACCATGGACAGAGACACCTCCCGTTAGACCAGGTTGCTCCAAGCTCCATCCAACCTGTTCTTGAACACTTCCAGGGATGGGGCAGCCACAGCTTCTCTGGGCAACCTGGGCCAGTGTCACATCATCTTCACAGGAAAGGATTTCTTCCTAATATCTAATCTAAACCTACTCTCTTTCAGTTTGAAACAATCCCCCCTTGTTGTATCACACCAGGCCCTTGTAAAATGTCCCTCTCCAGCTTTCCTGTAGATCCCCTTTAAGTATTAAAAGGCTGCTGTAAGGTCTACCCAGAGCCTTCTCTTCTCCAGGCTGAAAAGCCCCAACTCCCTCAGCCTGTCTCTACAGCAGAGCTGCTCCAGCCCTCAGGTGATATTTGTGGCCCTCCTCTGGACTTGCTCCAAGAGCTCCACGTCCTTCTTGCGTTGGGGGCTCCAGAACTGGACACAGTACTCCAGGTAGTGCCTCATCAGAGCAGGGTAGAGGAGGAAAATCACCTCAATCAATCAATCTGGTCAAGATAAAAAATCTACCACTTTTATTCAAGCTATATTTACTCTGTGGTTTGTAAATCTGCTACCTTTAATATCCCTCCCAAGTGAACATTACAGAAAAGAAACAAGGGGAAAAATAATGTTGAACAACTGTCCTTTTGGGAAGGATTTAAAAAATGTGGCTTGTTCAAAGGGATTTTAAAAAGATTAATTTAGTCATTATCTATGGAACACATGATATAAAAGTGTCCCAAACCTAAATAATGCATAGCAAAATTACAGCAAACTGAGAATGTAATACTCCTAGAAGCACCTTTCATGTAAGAAGGCAAATATAGCATGTGAATATTTCCTCTATCTGTGGATAAAATACAACTAATTCTTAAAGCCCTCTCTTTTTCTGTAATTGATGGAATGCTTATCTGACATCTTCAGCAGG